TCATTGGTTCTTCACTAACTTGTTCTTTGCATATTTCATTCACTCGTGTGTCGGCCTGCTGGTTTGTTGGTGAAGCTGTTGTTCAGCTCATTACTGCAGTTAGTTAGTGAACTGGTGAATTTTTTCTTTGCTGGTTTATTTGTTCTGTTTGTCATTCGTTTCAGCTAGTCACTGGTTGTTCAGTAATTAGAAGCAGTGAGTTAACTTGTGTCTGGGTTCCTTCTTGCATGAGTTCATTACCGGTGGATGGGATGGGGGAAGCGATGCCTCCAGTGTTGACACATTCGACCAGACTTGGTGATGTTGATGTTTCCTTCGTAGTTCACTCCCTGACCAGAAATACACTGACCTGCAGACACACACTGGGTCAGGGTTACATCCAGCTCACCTGCCGTCTCACTCTGTTATAGTTACCTTCTATACACTGTCTGATCAGGTTGATGTTCTCTGGTGTTCTCGTCATCTCAGTTCCTTTACAGTCTGTGGAAAAGACAGACGGAAGGTTGATGTTTGTTTACTGGCTTTGTGAGATGTTCTGGACTTTGCTCCTGTTTGCAGTGCAGCACAGCTGAATAAACTCCACTTTACAAATAATGTTAAAAATTAAACTTTGCTTCTCTGCTTGTATCCATTATCAGATAAGAAACTGCAGAGAATCGATTCAGCAGCAGGAGAGTCAGTTAAAACACACACAGTGAACCAACAGGATTGTAAAATCATTTCAAGTTGCCTCAACTCAATTCCACAATCTGAGGACGAAATAAACACTAAGTCAGCTGCCTGAACATCTGTGTTTGGTGGCGCTAGGCTAGCAGTTTCCCTCTGTTTCCAGTGTTTGTGCTAAGCTAAGCTAACTGCATCCTGGACACCTTGAGAGGGGGCTGTCTTCAGATTATTTTAGGGTGAGAAGCTGTGACCAGCCCTAAAATGATATGAACTGAGACTAAAAAGAGCGTTTTTATTTTTTAGATGGTTGTGTTTACCGGACATTCATTTACTCAAATATGAGACATTTTTGAGTTTCAAATAATCTGAAATATCAAAAAGCCCAGATTTCTTTAGACTAAGGCCTTCATCATACGTGGTGTGGTCCTCACCCAAAGGCCCATTCGGATTCAGTCATCCCTGCATTTAGTCAAGCTCGTAGACTGAGCAGTGGCATGGAACCGCCACACACAGACGAGTTGACACAGTGAAACATCGACATGGTGGAAATCAGACCCTTGTGGTGCTGTTATGCATTAATAGGAAGAAGGTCGGTGTTCTGTCGTCGCTCCACACAGACAGAGTTTCTGACTTCACTGGAAGCTTCAGGGACGTTTAAGATTCACGTATGATGTCGTCTGTTCATGCTCACTATTCTGAACTTGTAATTAAGCTGAAAGATGGATGTTTACAAAGATTAAGACAAAGAGACGAAAACTTTAGCAGACAATGTTCTTCTTTTTGTACAACGAGAGCTCAAAGGTTAAACCAATGAATGGGTTGATGGAGTAGATGATGAAAGAAGAAACCTGCTTTTCTTTGTCTTGTTTGACCACAAGCTGAGTGTCTGTGGGTTCTGGACCGCTGGTTATATTTGCACCATAAGTAGCTATATATATATATATACACATCATTATGTGCTGGTGTTTGTACATAAGAGGTTTTTAAGCACTCGCCTCCCGGTTGACTGTGAGCAGGTACTTACCCAGGTACTTCACCCAGAAGGTTTCCTGCAGGGAACACAGTTAGTCTTGTGGTTAGCTTGTAAACTGATCTCAGGTCTGTTAGATGTGACAACGGCAGACAAAGTGAAGTCGTACTGTTTTATCCGGCTGCTCGAACACCTCTCTGGCTTCTTCATGGTCGCAGATTTCCTCCACACACTCTCGCTCGAGGTTCCCTGACATGAAAAAATACACTTTATGGACACGTCATGACTCATCGACAAGCATCTGCAGCCGTTTAGTGTTTATTCTGCGTCTCTTTGATTGACTTTCCAAACAGAAACCGTCAGAGCAGAGTTCGATCCTCTTTGGCTTTGCCCATCTCAGTGGTTGTGAAACATTTGTCTGATAAAGGACATTGTTTGTGGCGGGTATGTGTTTATTTCTTAGGGTTAATGTTCCAATAGAAGTGGTTGACCCTCAGACACTTCTAACAGCAGCGTTGCATTTGAATGCACCAGCAGCTGAACCTGATGGGATTACTGCTGGTTCCTGCTGTAACCAGCAGTAATGAGGAACGCTGAGCACGACATCTGTTACCTGCAGATACGTTACCTGGTTTCACCTCCTCAAATAGCTGATTGGCCCGGCGGTTTCGGACTAAAACCTGCGACGCCAGCTGGCTGTCAAGAAAAACTACAAGAAGAAGGAAAATCAATGAGAATCGTTGAGCAGCACAAACACTCAGCTGGCCTTTACTCTGGACCAGGATGATGAGCTGTGTTGTGTTCAGTCCAGTTTATATTAAATGTGAGACTCAGTGTCACCTCCACAGAACAGGACATCTATTTCAGGACTGTTACTGAGAACTATTAGTTAAGTTTGCTGTCATAGTGGAGACGTGTGGGCTACCCCGACATCCAGATCTGTAGCTACAGTAGCAGTAATATGCCAATACTTGACTGCAAGTGGAAGTAATGCACTGGAGACAGACAGAGCATTAGAAATACTTTGACAGTCAATCAGTGAGGCTGTGGTCACCCTGTGATGGTTGATGAGCAGCAGCTGGTAAATGTAGTGCAGTAGAAGTATGAAGCAGCGACACACGGAGATACTCAAGTGAAGTACAAGTACATGAAAACTGTCTGGGGAATGTCCGCCCACCTCAGGGCACGGCTCAGGTCAGGGTTCACATTTACAGCAGAAACAGAAGCAAAAAAAAACAGTCAGATATGAAATGATTCTAAACTGTATGCCTTCCCAGTAATCTGATTACTCCTCAGAGTATTTCCCCTGATGAACAATCAGAAACTAATCCTTTATTAAATGATGTTGTAAAGTCAGGCTCCAAACTAGGACCTCAAAGAACCAAACTGGGTCCAGCTGTGGTTTCCATCAGTCCACCTGCATGAACATGGTTCTACAGTGAGCTGAGAGCAGCAGAACCTTCTCAGTTCTGGACCTCTGGACTGTGTCTATCTATGTCTGCATCATGGCTCCACATGGAGAAGACCTGAACAGAGGAGGAGAAACATCTGACTGAGAGACTGGACAAAGATGGAAAAGGATCCAGAAGACCAGTGAGCAGCTAGAACCCAGTGCAGCTCTGTTGCCTACAAGAACTGAGTGTTTCATCACAAGCTGAGGTCGACATTTGAAGTACAGATGAGTTGAAGATTAGAAGCAGAACGCTGGACTGACTGTTGGACTGAGGTCCGACTGTGGACTCTGAATGTTAACACAGGAGATGTGAACTGTTCGTTCTCAACCTGACATCTGAGCAAATACTCGACTCTTCAACTTCGCACCATGTGACTGTTGTAAAACGGTCTGATGTTGAATTCTCTGACATGTGAGTTGTGTTGCTCTCTGGTTCTGGCGATCAAGAGAAGAAGATAAAGGAACATCTGTGCAGGAATCAAACAGCTGTAGTGACACGTCCCCTGATGTTGTGTTCGTTCTGTTCACTGTGGAACTCAAACTCAGATTAATGACTGTTCGTACTTCTGCCCTCACCCTACAGCTATTCCCTGTGCTACCACGACTACCACGACCAGTACAGCGCTGGTCTTGTCCACGGCGACAAGAAGAACACAGGAAGGGTTTCATACCGTGGTTAGCCACACAGCTGTGCAGGAGAAGCAGCAGAACAGCTGGTTTAGATGTTGGTCCTACCATGATCCAGACCTCCGAGCAGAACCTCAGAACCAGATGTAGCAGTCTGCAGTGTGTCTCTGTGTCGCTGTCTGTCCTCTGTGGGGAAATGTTGACCAAAGGGTCAAAGTATGAGTCAGGCCGGTGTGATGTTCAGCGTGGGCTTTCATGTTTACCTGGACTCAGCGTACACTCTGTCTCCTCTCTGAGCTGCTGCTGTTGGGTTTGGGTCAGTCCTGCAGCTCAAACCTGCCACAGCTGTTGGACGAATTGTTTGGTCAACATAATGTGAAAAATCAATAAAAGTCATTGGTTAAGACAATCACAAGTTTCTGGCGTCAGCTGGAAGAAGCTCAGTAAAAGTACCCGAGTGTAGAAATACACAACCACAGAGACACACTGAGGCTGGAAACTCTGCCCTGTGTTGTGTTTAAAGCTTGTTGTATGATCCACTGAGTCAAAACTCATCGTCCTGCTAACAAGCACAGAGATTTACACAGAAAGCGTGGACACACAGAGACTGACGGGGACACCACACAGTGACTACAGGCTGGATGTCGTGTGTGTTATGTGTTGGATTTTACAAGCTTGCTGCCTCATCTGTTGGGTCTGGGATCCATGTCATCCTCATGGAGTAGAAAGCGCAGTCGGTCTCTCTGAGATGTCGTGGAGTGGAAGGAAAAGCAGCACAACAAAGTACTCGAGTACAATCACATCAACATGTTCACTTCAGTGCTCAAGTTAATTGACCCAATTACTTGTCTGATGGTACCAACACCTAAATAGATTTGTTATTACAGTTCTAGAGGTTCATCAGCAGACGCTTTTATCCAGAGCGACGTCCATCTGAGAGCAGATCCTATACCAGCAAGGATCTGGTCTGGAGAGAACCACCTGGATAAGGGACACAGAACAGGTCCAGGGCGCTGGTGCCAGTAGCGGGCTGTAGGGAGGCGACAGGAACATTTAGTTTGTTTCCAGCCTGTCAGTTGCACAGGTGTTGAGTGAAGAGCTGCTCTTTAGTCTGTTCTTAAACACTGAGAGGGAGTCAGCAGATGGACCAGTTTGGTAACTGGTTCCACCACCGGAACCACAGAGGAGGAGAGTCCAGCTACTGACCCGGACCTGTTGTGGTGGTTGGACCAGGAGGTTCTGGTTTATTATCAGAGCAGACAAGGATGAGCTGGTGCTGGAGAATGTTTTGTCATTTTAGTTAGAAAGGATTATGACTAAATGCAGGACCGAGTGGTTTCCTGCCACATTGGACCTCTGGACTGGAGCCGTGTGAACTTACACCTCACTCCAGGACATTTCAGAGGAAACGACAAGGCCGTGAAGAAGAAGACAGAACAAATGCTGCTCATTGTCTGAGTTGAACAGTCACTCTGTCTTGCTATCAGTTTCTGGGTTCAGTGCTGAGAGCCACATCGCAGCGCTTCAGCAGTCAGTACTTTGTTCTCTCCTGAAACCCTGAAGGAGGTTCTGTAGGGACGGTTGCTGCACTTGGAACAAAGGTGTGGGTTGCCTTGACACAGCCTGAACCGTCTGTTTACCTGTGAACGAATCACACTGAGCAGGAGGAATGAAAACTACCAGCAGAACTAAAACAGGCCTTAGAAAGAAACATGGAGTCAAAAGGTGAATGTTTATTGATCCGACCTCCGTCTGACTCAGCACAGCTCACACATCAAATATTTACCTGCAGATACTGAGGTGAAAGTCTTGCAGCAGAGGATCAGGCAGACTGAGCTCTACGCTTCATGTGTCCGATGGAGACGAGCTTTCAGCTTTACAGGTCTGACAACGAAGTCGTCAACAGCAGAGCCGAGTCTTTGTATAATCACTGTTTCTTTACCACCACTGAGCTGCAGCTGTCCAGGCGGACGGGTCTTTTTTTTTTGTAAACGTTTTGCCAAAAGTTTACATATTATCTTTAAATCAGAATTTAACAAACTTATGGGTCTCAAGTTTTCGCATTTGTTAGAAGGTTTGCCTGGTTTTGGAAGTAGAATAATTAAGGCACGAATGATAGAGGCTGGGAGACTACCATTGCCAAATGCCTCTGAAAACATTTCCAAAAGTGGGGTCAGTAATTTGTTTTTACATTTTTTATACAGATCAATTGGTAGACCATCAGGTCCAGCCCTTTTGCCTGACTTCATATTATCAGTGGCATGTCCTATTTCCTCTTTGGAAATTTCTGTCTCTAAATCTGTTTTTATTTCATTTGGGATGCTGGGTATGGGTAGATCATCTAGAAATCTATTCCGGTTTTCTATGTCCGTTTCATTGTTTGCATCATATAGTTCCTTGTAGTAGTCTCTGAAAGCTTTATTAATTTCTGGGGGATCCACAATAGCTTGTCCATTGGATATAATGGTTGTGATTGATGTTTTGTTTTCTAATTGTTTAATCTGCCATGCTAATAATTTTCCTGATTTGTCTCCTTGCTGATAGACTGTTTGCCTTAGTCTTAAAAGACTCGATGCTGCCCTGGAAGCAGACATTTTGTCATATTCCGCTCTCAATATTAGTAAATCATTTTCCAATTACGTGTTACTTTTATAGCTAATAATATGTCCTCTGAGAAAGGCTTTAAACGCTTCCCACTTTGTTCCTGCCGATGTTTGTGTAGTGTTAAATTCGAAAAATTCATCTATCTGTTTACCTATGTAATTCACAAATTGTTCATCTTGTAGCCATTTGTGTTGGAAATGCCATCTAGGCGGGTCTTTTGTCAATTTAGTGTCCATGTACACTATGCCACATGGTGCATGATCTGAAACCACGATATTGTCATAAAAACCATTTTGAATTTTTGGTCGTAATTCTGAGGAAATTAAAAAATAATCTGTTCTAGAATACGTTTGGAACACTTTAGAATAACATGAGTAAGCTTTAGTATTTGGTTTCAAGACTCTCCATACATCCAAGAGATTCAATTCTTTAATGAAGCGATTAATTACTGTTCTACACCTATTGTGTGACTGATCTGTTCCTGTGGATCTATCCATGTTGGGATTTAATGTGCAATTGAAGTCCCCAGCTATCACATGTTGCCCTGCTAGTGTTGTCAGCATAAAGAACAAATCTACAAAAACTTTTGAGTCGTCTGTGTTAGGACCATACAAATTTATTAAATTTAAATTTTCTGAAAGGAGGGAGCCTTGGATGATTAAGTATCTTCCCTTTTCATCTTTGATTACATCTTTTACTTGAAATGGGACTGTTTTGTGAATAAGGGTCATAACTCCCCTGGCTTGGGATGAGAACGATGCTGTATATACACTGCCCTGCCACCTCCTCCCAACCTTCTTAATATCCTCATCTAAAAGATGGGTTTCTTGTAGAAACACTATTTTAGCATCTATATCCTTTATTTTATTCATTACTTGTTTGATTTTTCTAAGCTTCTGCAGACCTCTACAGTTCCATGAAACAAAATGAAGATTTACTCCTTGAGACATTCCCACTGAAAAATTGTAGATTACCTTGCCATACAGAAATAAACTTGTTGAGAAGCATAACAAACCTGGATGTTAGAACCCCATCCAACACTATGAACTTGAACACTCCCGCCTTGCCCACGGTTGTGGGAACCCCCCCCCAAATCTCCTGTCTCCCGTTATCACTAATTACTGTTCCACACTTAGTGAGGATCAATCAAACCACTCTCTACTTTCCACAAACAAATGCCTGCTGTTGTTCCTGTTGAGACATTAATTAACTTATCTTATACTTGATTTGTACCCCATAACAGTTACATGTTTTATTTAAAGTATGTCATATGCTGAGATGTTTTAAGAGTCCGGTATATAGAACTTTAATATGAAATCTAAATTGGATCTTTATGTTTTGTTTGTATATGACTATGTGTAATGCTCGTTTTATCTGTTACTTATCAGAGAATGTTTAACTGTTCAGTGTGTCCATAGTATGGTAAATGAACTTCCGAATGCTCGGTGTTCTCAGGATCAAGACACCAGCTGAATGGCTCAAGTTCACCACAACACCTTCTATCAGATAGAGCACACTGCTACAGTCTCATGCACTGACGTTACCGTTTCTTCCTTCTCTGCATTTAACTGTCCGCGGCGTCCTCCCGGATTTTCTTTATCAATGTTTGTGCTTCGCATGGGGTTTTAAAAGTGTGTGTTTGTCCATTATATGTTACCAAAAGGTTGGCGGAGTGAATCACTCCATGACGGATCCCCAGGTTGCGCAGCTCCTGCCGAACCGGGTCGAACTTCTTCCTCAGCTAATGTATTCCTGTAGCCAAGTCTGGATAGAACCTGGCTTGCTGGTCCTTGTATCTGGTTTCCTTTTTAGCCCGTGCAGCAGCCAGTACTGTCATCTTGTCCTTGTAGGAGAGAAACTTCTTTACTAGAGTTCTCGGCGGTGCCTTGTTGTCCCTCATCGGTCCGATTCGGTGCACCCTTTCAATTACCATCGGGGCTCGTAGGGTTGCGGTATTCAGAAGTTCTGGAATGACTTTCTCCAAAAAGGAGCATGTATCCTGACCCTCAGCTCCCTCTGGTAGTCCCACAAGTCTCAGGTTGTTCAAACGAGATCTGGTTTCCAGATCCAGAAGCTTCTCTTCCAGAGTTTTGTTTTTTGACTCCAGGCTGTTCACTTTAGCATGTAAGTTTGCTACCTCGCCTTCGGCACTGGATATGCGAAGCTCCGCTTGTGACACTTGTTCTGAACAGTCGCTTATCTCCTTCTTCATAGAATTTATCGCCGTCATTATTCCATCAAATCTTGATAAAAACTCAGTTTTCATGGAGTTTATTGCAGCCAGTATAGTGTCCGCCTTGGCATCTCCGAGCTCTCCAACTCTGCTGCCCACCTGTTCCGCCATGCCGTCGTTAGCTTTCTCTGTTTCACCACGAATTTGGTAGTCAGTTAGCTTCGGCTGCTTCGATGCTTTATTCTTCTCCTTGCTCGACTTGCCAACCTTCGGCATTACAGTACCCACACTAACACTGCGTTATGGAGCTTTGGTAATCTTTAGTAGAGATTGTTGAAGCCAGAACAGAGCAGCGTAAAACGCGTCTTCCTAGGTGGCCGCCATAACCGGATGTCCACTTTTAAG